ATGGTGTTGGCAAAATTGGAAAAATATCTGAAACCAGAGCCTGGACTTATTGAGGAATTGTGCCTTGGAACTGTTGGAGTAAAGCCTAGACTTTTATTGTGAGATAGTCTTTGCTTCTCCCAGTTACTTCCATAATAAATCCCATCAGTACCAGAATTATAAGTCTGTGGGTCACTAGTGAATAAACAAACCTCTTGCCTTTGGGGTGGTTCTAGAGGAACCATAGGGCTAGCCTACAGGCTTTTTATCTGCTTTCTAGTCTGAGGCAGTGAGGAGCTGGGCTATTTTTACTCCCTCTTGTCCTTTCAGAGAGATGCTCATGGTCCTGTACCCAAATGTCTAGTTTTCTAGTTTTCTCCTCTTTAGACAAAAACTTACCATTAATTAATTAAACAAATAAATACATACCTGTCATTTCCAAGACTTTTGGAAAATATAGTGTCCAGAAACGGCATTGTTGTGCTCGTAGTTTTGTGTATGTTTTTGAGGATTCAGTATTCAACGTCAAATATTTTTGTTCAGTGCTTTTGAAGACTGGCCATCTTGTGCTATTGCTCTGAGTCCCATTTGGGTTTCTAAATAAAGACAAATATTATATTTCTACTTAAAATCATTGCTCTTTGAAAAATAATATATTTCACTAAAACTCTTACTGTGCATTTTAAGAAGTCAGAAAAAAGATTGTTGATTTGTTTTGATAATAATAAAACATAAGGAAATTACATTGATATTTTAAAACACTACATTATGGTGGTCTAGTGACAAGAGGTCACACTGCAATCCTGAAGGCACCTGGTTCGAGGCCACTAATTGCTTTGCTGAAGAAGGATGGGCAGTGTCCTTCCATACGATTAACAGCCTCTGAAAACCTGGTGAAGGGTCAGCTATGGGTCGATTCTGACTTGACAATTCAACAACCACCACCACACTATGTCAGTTAAAATTGAAGGAACTGGAATTCAAGTGATTATTAATACATCCAAATAAAACCAAATCCACTGCTGTCAAGTCAATTCCAACACAATCTTGCAGCAGGTATCTAAAGCTGTAAATCTTATTTACAGATTATCCATCTTTTTCTCAGAGAAAAACTGGTAGATTCCAACTGCAATTTTTCCGTTACCAACCGAACAAGTAACACACTATGCAATTAAGACTTACTCAGATTATAATACTGATTTCTTCACATCATAAAACTAAAATTGGAATCTTTTACCAACAAATTGGAATTGACCAGTAACTGATTTTTAGAGGCTTTAAATCTCACAGGGAGTGACTCATTATCTTTCTCCAAAGATAGTGGATTAGAACCTTAAGAAGTGTCACTTTTGGGTTAATAACACAATTATCCATAGACTGTTGTTAGGTACCATTGAGCCAATTATGGTTCATAGTTACCGTACGAACAACAGACCTGACCCTGACTGTCCTAGGCCATCTTCATGATCTCTGATAAAGTCTGTTCCCTTTTCCTTGAGGGAACAGAGTACTGAATAATATCCTATAGACTGTCAAAAGAACATACAAATGTGTCGTGGAGGAAGTAAAAACAGTTTGCTACTGAGAGGCACAGCTGATGACATTTCTTCTCATATATTCAGGAATGTTGCCAGCAGCGAGCAAGACATTATACGGGAAGCCAACTTTCATAATAAATATTTGTAATAAACCACATGCTATTTCAGGATGTGGGGGTAGCAGTGTACAATCTGGAACCCACCCTGAGGCACCAAAGCAATCCTTGAATGTTGACAGGGGTAGACACTAAGGCAATCCTTAAGCATTTACAGGATTCTTGCATTGTATTTGCTAACCCCTCCCTCCTGAGTCAAGCAGAAAGTTTTCCATAGAAAGAGCTTGCCTTCATTTGCATTGAATTCTCTTGGTGATTTGCTCCTGGCAATTTTCAATAAAGACACAGGGAAGCTAAGGTCAGCACTTCAGTTGAGAACCAGAATGCTCCCTGGAGGCAAAGATGAAGAGGCATCATCTTATCTATATTGTACATGTTGCTAGGAGAGGTTTTACCTTCGAGAGGGAGATCATGCTTTGGAAGGTGGAGAGGTAGCAAAGGAGAGAAAGACCCTCAACCTGGTGGGCTAGCATGGTGACTATAACAATGAACTTGAATTTGCCAGAGGTTATAAGGATGGCATGGTATAGGACAGTGTTCAGATCAGTTGTTCGTAGGCTTGCTATGAATTGTACTTGACTTGACAGCATCTAATAGCAACACAGTACATAACAACTTTATTACTCTGGGAATTGCTGTATGTCTCACATTTACGTTTGAAGGGGCAGCAGAAACCCCATTTTTTTATAAACCCCCATTAGCGCTAGAGGTAGAAGTGGGCCATAAAAATTCCTGGCTTAGGGCAAACATGAGTGCCCCGGGTAGAGCCTAGTCAGTCCTTGAAAAAGTAAGGAATTAACTAGTGTCTGCGTGGCACAAAAAGAGTAAAGGCTGGCAAAGTAACCAGCCCATCAAAAGCCGACCAAGTGACTGACCCTCCCAGCCCGCCAATCTCTTTTGCCCTAGCAGAGGCACTCAAGAAAAAGCTATAAAAGCAAGTGGGAGGGAAAACTCGGGGCTTTTTCCTTCACCACCTTCCTGGGGAAGGGGAAAGCCTCCGCGCGTGGAAAATTAAATAATAAACGCTCTTGACATTTCAGATGTGTTTTTGGATTTCTTTGAGGGGCATTTCACGGGCACAACAAAGTTCATCTCATTTTTCCATATCTATTTATTGTTTAAAAATCCTTCAGCAATACCTACAGGTTCAGTTTAAGGTTAGTGAATAACATGAAAACACTGTATTTCCTAGCTTATTTTTTATATTCTCTTCCATTATAGCTAACAGGAATAATAATTTCCTACTAAACATTGCCCAACCCCCAATTTCTCACTTCTTTAACTCTGCTCCAACTATTATTTATAATTTTAATTCTTTTATTATACAGCTTTATCAATCCAAGTTCACCAAAAAGCCTTTACATTCATATTTTATGCTATTTCATTTATCTTAGAGATGGCCTTTTCCTGTGAGCTCTGTTGTTGTGTTTTTGTTACAAGTCATTGAGTCAACGGAACTCATAGAGACCCCATGAATAAGGGATCTAAACTATACCCCATCCTGTGCCATTCTTAAATGGACTAGAATCCATTACCACAGTCTCTACGTCATTGAGGGTCTTCCTTTCTTATGGTGACCCTCTACCCTTCCAACCATGTCTCAGAATCAAATGAAGGGTCAATGATGAGTCAATTCTGAATCTACAGCAATAAGGATTGATAGAAATTCTTTTTATTTTTAACTGATTTAAAAATCTATGTATATTGACTAAAATTTTTTCTCTAGTACCTAAATTGCTGAAGAGCAGTGGTGCCTCTCTGGAGACTAAGGTGTGTCTGATACAGGCCATGGTCTTCGCAATCAC